TAAGTTTATTGAAATGATGAAAAATGCGAGAGGGCCTGAGTCGGTCTAGATCCACATTGACGGCTCTGCCAACTACTAGGGGTATAATCTTGGCCACTTAAAGCTTCATAATTGATCTGTAAAATGGGGTTGATAAGAGTCCTTACTTAATAGCATCACTGTGGGAGTTACACGATTTATATAAAATGCAAAGTTTTGGGCATATAATTATCCTATACATGTAGCCATCTTGATTTAAGTTTAGCACACTTCATAATTTTGGACATCTCGAAATATTAAATCTTATAGTCTTTTATAGTTAAAAATGTGTGATTTTTATTTGATATTAAAATTTTTAAATATTATATTGAAGAGGAAAGAAAAATTAGACTACTAGGTGCAAAATAGAAGTATAAAATTTATTTAAAACCATCCACAAAGTTCCGTGTAATCAGGAATGATACAATTTGCAATAGTTTTTTTTAAAAACTCATGACAAAGATTTAAAATATAATTTCAATTACAGTATTCATTTAGCCTTATTCAGTTAGAACACTTAATATAAAAGAAACTTTATGCTCTAAATAAATGAGACACACAAGGAAAATATAATAGACAATTTCCACAACTATCTTTACATGTATGTTTCAATACTAGTACATTTCAATGCATTTTGCTACATAAACATGAAATCATGTACAACTGTTGTGCACCAAAATTTAGCTTAATTAGGTCTTTCAAGTAACATGCAATTCCAACTCACAAGTCTTCAAGTACTGCTAGTAAGTGTTCCCTTGTATTCAGAGCACTACACGTTGATCTCAAATTGAAATAATCATAATTAAGATTATTTCTTTCCCTTCTGCATGAAGAAGTGCATTTTCTTTAAACTGCTTCTCCCATATGTTAAGAACCAAAACCAGATTTTGTAGAGTTTTAAAATCTTTTCCTTACTAACTTATTTCATTGTATGGGATATTTAATACAGTAGGACTGCAATAGCTAAAAATAAATTCCCCTAAGCAAAAAATCAAAGGTGCAAAATAAATAGTAAATATACCCTCAGAGGAGAAAAAGTCACCTAGAGAGAGGAATATTAACTTGTGAAACTGATACTTCTTTATTGAAAAGTCAGTACTAGTCTATTTCCCCGTGATGAAGAGTCTGTGAATATTTTATTCCCACTACTGAGAAGCACTCATTCTTCTCCTTTGAACCAAAGCATGGGTAAGCATGTGGATCTACTTGGTAGGTCGCCATATAACACAGGAGAAAATGAAGAAACTAGAAAGTAACGCTTTTCTTTCTGCCAGATAGCTTTACAAGTTTCTCTTCAGGGAACACTTTGTGATTTCCTAGTAACTCAAAGATGACAGTCCACCCATAGGTAACAATGCAAAAGCTGCCCCCCCCCCCCCCCCCCCTTTTACTATAAAACCATTTCTGGAAAAATATTTCTCTTAAAGCACCTATCACAATGTTATCTGTTATAGAAGTTTAAAAAAAATGACCATACATTGTAATAAAAAATATTTAATCTTTTTTTTTTAAGAGTTGTTTTTGTAAAGTCCTGTGTTGTCAGCCATTTTATAACATATCAAACAGGCATTAGTGAAGATAGGCAGTTACTGAGCCAAATCACCAAAAGTGGAAATTATTGGACTATTTAGGGGAAGTTTGGGTTTTTCATTAGTCACCCATAATGTACTGATGGAATAGGCAAAATACCCTACCTCTTTATTTCTACAAACATCTTACTAAAAACTTTACAAATACATCTCATTATTTTTCTTAACTCTCTAGGCAAAGGTATGTTTAAACTTTGACCAGAGACTTTACATGGCTGGAAACAAAGTGGAAGGAAAAACAATGCAAAACAAATTTAAATAAGTGGGAGATAGTACTATTTCAGAGATGTCAATAACTTTACATTTTTACCATGAGTACTTGAAAACTAAAATCATCAGTTTACCGAGCACATTCCCTTCTAGAAACCTGCACTTTAACATAACAAATACATTAAACTTCGATTATGAGCTGCTGATCTTTTTTTTTAAGCATATTTTTTTAAAACAATTATTATTGAGGTTTCCCTTTTGTTTTAGTAGTACAGGGATATTCTTTATTAAAAAGTTTATTTACAGGGGAAAAACTGAAACTTCATTAATCTAAGCCCTAATGCAGAAGTTCTGGGAATTTGGGGAGACCTTCCGAGGTACACATAAAAATCATTGGCTAAACAGGGGAAACAAAACATGTCAGAAACATGGTTTGCGTATGTTAAATAGGGTTTACATTATTCTTAGATCCAGTCTGACAAAATTTCTACCTACTGAGTCATAGTTAATGATGCAGAAATGCATTTATTTATTTTAGAGAGAGAGAGTGCAATGATTGAAGGGGCAGAGAGAGAATCCCAAGCAGGCTCTGTACCACCAGTCCAGAGCCCAATGAGGAACTCGAACTCATGAATCGTGAGCCAAGGTCTGACACTTAACTGACTGAGGCACCCAGACACCCTGAGGCAGAAATGCTTTTAGCAGTCTGCAGATACATAATGGTTTAGTCTCAGATGGGTTGACTTGATCTGTGACGTAGAGCAAGACATTTGCTATTCTTGTCAATCTGCCGGTTCACCACCAGTAAGACAGGAACATTTAGGCGTCTGTCCAATCCTCAGTGTTGGGGAGAAAAGAGGAATAATAAAGTAAATATAAAGCATAGTAAAGCAGTTTGATAACCTAAAATATTATAAAGTACAGGGATTATAGTTTTGTTACCACCATATTTGCATTCAAAATCATTCCTCATTTTGAGCTGCTATTTTTTCACATAAAACTGTTATAGAGTGGGGAAAAGAGCTGTTAATAAATTTTTGGTTTAGCTGGTGGAATGAACCTGCAGATTGCGAATAAGAGCACAAATCTCCCTCCTCACTGCCTCTTAAATCCCCCCTATTACACTCAGAACTCCAGATAACTGATTTACCCCATCTTTATGAATTCCTCAAATTACTTTCAGTTCATTTTTTAAACTTTCTCACCCATATTATACAATATTTCCTATTATTGTCAAAACCCAAATTCCAAAGGGGTAAGTTTACATTAGAAAGGAGATACCATCCGCAAAACTGGGCCAGGAGATAAAACATGCAGAAAAAAAAAATACTATCTACTGTATAAATCAGACCCGATATTAATTCAGTCACTGGTCAGACAAGTTATAATTAGTATGATGCATTGTACAGAAATAGCAAAGCTATACAGAAATAGTGCTAGAATATTTAACTTCTTATAAATTTTTTGCAAAACACTGAAACACTAATAAAGTTAAGGGTCAAACATTGTTGGAATTGTTCAAGAGAACGGTGGGCAAGTGACCACTATCTAGTCCTAAACACTGAATTTGCCTCTAACCAAAAATGGCTAAATAAAAGATTTTGATTCTTTTTGGTATTGTTCCACAAAGGATTTGTGAAACATGACATTAGAAGACAGGAGAGACACCTTCACCAAGATCACTACTATTCTTAAAATGAACCATGTGTATTTGTGTAGGGAGCATGAAAAATGGAGGCAGAACAGGGAGAGGAAGCAATATGATTTTAAGGAAAATTCGGGGAAAGGATACAAACTGTAAGAAGAATGAAAGTACACTAGTTACTATGATGTACAATAGTTACATCATAGCTTCAGTAAAATGAAAAAAGAAAAATAGTGAGCAGAGTTTCTGGTCAAAGATGGTAAGTTTATACCTAGCCAAATGAAGAAGAAAGGAAATTACTTCTCAATACTGTCTCCCCAAAAGTGAACATGTTTTTGACAGCTGCAAGATTTTTTTCTGATGAATAAGACAAGAGAGAATGCCTTTCAGAACAGCTGCTGGGGACAAAATTTCTATTTTTAGGAAAACTAGGTTAAACTGTTAAGGGTTTTGCAAGTTGCACTCAAACACAAATTGGTTAAATCAGACGTAATGTGTTTAAAATCTGATAATAACATTCCTACCTTAGCCTAAGTTTTGCTTCAATTATAGGGGACACGTATGGTTGAACAAAGAAGAAAAACTTGTCATCCAGGCAGGATCATGGATATCACAGTAGGGGTGGGAAAAGTATAGGCCACAGAGGAGAGATGAGTGTTTGAATTCTAAAGCTAGAACTATGAAACATTGCATCCGATCAAAAGAGAAACACATGGTGGGGCCCTTAAAGGAGAAGTGAAGATTTGGAGTTGCCAAATGAGGAACACCTGTGGATTACTTGAAGGCATAAATTACATGTTTTTTGAAGTAAACAGTGGTATTTGATTAGGTGCCCAGAAGACACAGGGATTGAAACAAAGTCATCTAGATGTACTGCAATAAAGAGAATGTTTGTAGAGTTCAAGACAAAAAGAGTGATGTCTTACATAAAAACCAGTTTTATCATTTCCAAAATTAAAAGAGGAACTTAGACTCTATTTTATACATGAGAAAAGAAAACAAACAACAAAAACCCGCCAATAAATCTTAATACATTCTAAGAAAATACATGAACCCAGCTTCTGATAGACAGATTCTTTCTGAATTGCATTCCAGAGCCATAAATGGCATCATTTTGTCAGTCTGTGAGAAGAAAGATCAAAATGGAGCACAATTTGATTTAGATAATCCCAGAGTCTTCGGGAATCAGGGCACTCATTATTATCACTTGGTCGAATGTGCCTTACTGCTGACATTGACGTTACAAGTTCAATACACTTATGGGCAAGTTTAGGAGTTGTACACAATAAAACAGTATTCTAATACAGGTAGACAATCACTTCAAAATTAACTATGCTAGGATTCACTTGTGAGGCCAATTTGGCAGGTGTGACTAGACTGTACAACCATGGCTAGATAGTATGTACACTGACTGCATATACTTTCCCCAGTTCTTTCATTCAATTTTTGATAACTCCTTATATATGCCTACATATATGACTCCCTACATATGCCTAATACTTGTTCCAGGGGAAATAAAAGCCTGTACCGTGTAAGTACTTGATAGATATAGAATCTTTTTATTGAAATAGCAATTAAGACTACTGCCACATTTTGTTGGATGAGTTAACAGGACAGCTCCATAGGTGAAAGTCAGCTAGATTTCCCACACAGGGGAATCTTGACCCAATTTCATTCGACTTATTTTCCTGAAGCTCTCAGGAAAACAAAACAAAACAAATAAATAAATAAAAAAACCAGACGAAACAAAACAAAAAAAGTAATAGAAAAACATAAAAGGCATTTTAATCTTTCACTTGTACTACAATAGGGTTATTTACCAGTGATAAAATACTCTCTGGGTGAGCAAATCAAGTTTGTTTCCCATAGTCCTCCTAAGTACAAAGTGACCTTCATTTGACGGTTTAAATCCTAATTATAAACATTAAGTTACACACTGACATTAACATTTGCTCTTTGGGGCCCAGAGATTGAACTATAGGACTTCTAAGGTGTCTATCAGGGCTATGAGAGGCCACTACCATATTACTTCACAATTCTTGTCATAAATTTGTACAGAAGATAAAAACTCACAGTTGTACTAAATCTAGACTAAAAAGGAATTTCCATGCAGCAAGAAGCTGTAATAGAAGGTAGCTATATATTATTAAACGTCACATACAGCTACTGATTTACTCGGCACATTCAAAGGAAGTCCTGTGCTCACTGTAGGTGGAAGTTGTCATGCAATGTCAAAACTTTGTCCCAGATTAAAAAAAAAAAATCTCAATAGAATTGGTCTTAAAGAGTAAACTGAAGTAGTTTGGGGTTATTTTCATACATGCTATTGTGGAATTAATGATAATCCATTCGAGTCCACTGAAGCAATAACATTAGAAACTAGGTTACTTCATATGAATTGTTATCTCATTTACACAAGGGTATACATTCAATTAAGTATGTATTGGGGTTATGTCTTAAATAAATTGCTTACTGATTTCATCTAGTTGAAATTCTATATTTAACAAATTAAATTGTTTCATCCACATGCAGATTGCATAACAAATATGTTAGAAGGGTAAGCTGCAAACATTTTGCTAACATACTGCAAAAATTTACCTACAGCTATACATTTTCAGCTAGCCTCACTTTCCAATAAGATGTTTCAATTAGGTCTATGACATGATGTTTTTGGTACTTTGTGGATGAATTGGAAGATACAGGTGAGGCTGATAAGCAGAACAAAACTTTTTTTCAATGATGGCCTGAGAGCCATTAGAAACGGAGGGAGTTTGAAGGGCAGAGTGATATTTTTGCAGAATTCTAAAATAGGGAGTTCATTATAGTTAGTAAATTTGTAACATATTATGGACAGGTTGGGTTAACATGGGGATCATGTATCAACGAATTCAATTATCAAACCATGAACAAAGGCAGAAGATTGAAAAACTCAATTTGAGTGCTGAAGAGAGGTGAAGCAAAAGGTGATCATGACAATAAAACATAAGAGGTGTAGAAATAATGTTAGATGACCAGTTTTCTGAGTGAAAATGTCATTTCAAACAAATTTATTTCCTTGCTTCATAAGAGCATTCTAAAAGCAGTGTCGCTAGCATACAATCACAATGCTGTAGAACATTGAATAAGCATGAGCTTTAAAAAAAAAAAATCACAGGGTAGATAAAGGGATAGCAAACTTAATTTAAACTTATGAAGTAGCATCCAACAAAGTAGGAATCCCGTGTGGTTCCCACCATGGGGTTATCATTTGAGGCAGGCCATTGATGGTGTTACTTATAAAAGGAACGGAAAACATTTTAGTTGAGGAGGCATATTTTCATATAGGTTTTTGGGGCAACTGCAGCCAACTTAACAATCCTTAACACTGGAGCTTCAAGTTCAGTTGTTAAGAAACTTACTCAAAGTTAGTGACATGGATTGGAACTGCTGCAGATATATTACAATGGATTCTTTTGAAAGAATCTTGTTTTTTTTTTTTTAAAAAAACATGGATAAAAGCATCTTTTAAGACTTTAATTCTTCAAGTTTGTTTTGTCACAGGTGGCAATTCAAAGAAAATAAAAAGCTAACATTTAAATTCTGCAGACATTCAGTAAGTGTTGAACGGAAAGAAGATGGGTAGATGGATAAAGGGTGTTAAAACTTGATCCATTAAATCTGGTGATGAAATAATTTCTATTGGGAGCTAAGGCCTAATATCTAAAATAAAAAATCACAAGGGCGTACTCCTGATAGTCTAATACTAGTAAATATCTTATTGAAGCAGCAGAAACAATAATCACTTATTTATATACTTGTATGTATAGGAAACCTTAGGCTCACAAAAATATACATGTTTTAAAACAGAAATCTAAGGCACACAAAATACTAAAACAAGTCAATGAACCACCCTATTTTACATATTCAAGAAGCAGAATCTACTTGTACAAGATGATGGTCTACCAATGAATATTTGTTATATACAATCCCTTCATATTCCTTTACTTGGATTAGTCAAAAGCTTGAAACTGATACTTTGCACCATATATTATTTTAATATAAGTTACAATGAGTTTTTTCTTTAGAGCGCTTGCTGGAACTGTTTGCTTTTGCACCAAAATTGTTGAGTGTTAGCAGTTGTGGGCTTCCTATGGCATTTCCAAGGGAGAAGCACCATTAATTAGGTTTTCCACACTCCCAAGGAATCTGACACTTTGAATGTTATAGCACCTCTGCATTTTTACAGAATCAAGTATTTCATTGAAATTTCTTGTTCTAAACATTTTGTTTGGGCAATCCCTTTTGTTTTGCTATAAAATGAGCCAATAAAATAACGGGAAAATATAATGGAAGGGCCAACATGAACGCAATGCCTATTTTCTTGTTACCTAGAACATAGGCAATAATCAGAAAAGATGAGATTTCATTTTCCTAAAATGAATATGCTTAAATCAACTACTTTGGATAAATGGGCAATACCATTCCTACTGTTTGGGTTTTGTGGATATGTGATGATGATAGAGAATTTGTTTTCAACAATTTCTATGGGAACTTTATGCTTATTCTGTACCAGAATGACTTTTAGAACAAATAAGGCAATTGGGATGGGTAGGGTTTTTGCTACTTCATTTTTATATTTGATCACCTTGAAACTTTAGAAGCATTTGACTTTTCTGAATCCTACTATGGCCCGTCTCCTTTTGGAAAAACCTTTCATGATTATATTGAGAAAGCTGGAGGGAAAATAAATTGGGGCCACTGTTGCTTGATAAATCAGAAGAGAGCACTCATACTTAGCTCCAAATAAAATGTTAATCCGTATTGGTGATACGCTTCCTAATTCTGATTTTAGAGAAAATTAACAATTTTTGCATGTTCTAACTATTCTATATGTAGCTAATATTTGCATGAGAAAGGACACATTAAAAAAAAAGAACACAACAAACCATATACATGATTAGAATACATATTGCAGTTAACAAGATGGAACTCTACACAGCAATATATGATTTCTCTTGTATGCAAATATGCATAAACAATAGACAATAGGATTCTTATACTATACTATTTCAAGTTACTTTTAAAAATAGAAAGTGCTTTTAAAATATATATTTACAATTTATGAACAGCCTCCAACCATTATTAACAATAGTGAATTATTTTATACAGGAGAGATATTTTGAGAGAAAGCATTTCATTGGTTTATTTCAAAGGAATATGCCGATTTTCTAGCAATGATTGGAAGATGTTGGAACAATGGCACCATGAAAAAATAATGCAGCTTATTTTTAACTGTTGATGTGGGTAAGCACCAGGAGCTGTGTAGAGTTAACACTGTGTCTTGATTTTACATCATAGCACATGAACCTGTTAAAATCCTCTAAAAATGACTCTTGTTTCATAGTAAACAGACTTAATTTAAAGCACCAAACTGAGTGATTCTATCAAGGTTAACACCTAACCAAAACATTTCTTTATGTATTGAAAACTATAAAACTTTTATTTTTGCTTAAAATGTGCACCTTCTACCAATTGTCAAAATATAGTCACAGTTAAGAAATACCCACCCCATTTTTGTTTTTTTGTTTTTACCTCAGCCTTCAAATGGGTGAGATGAAGATATAAGTAAACGACAACATGACTTTCTTTTAACAGCACCTTGAAAAAATACACAAAACTAGCAAAGGCATTAAGAAGGGGAGAAAAGCTTTCAGACCCAATGGTTATAGGGCCCTGCAACATGTGTGAGAGCATAAGGGGACACTGTGACAATATTGTCATGGGTTAGCGTTAATGCTTTATGAGACGGAATTTGGTTCAATTCATTAACTTCGGGGGACAGTTCCGGACCCTCATTAGCTGCCTGGACTTTCTGCTCAGAGGCCTTTGTTTTCTTATTCTTAGCTTCTTTAGCCTCAAACTTAATTTTGTTTAGTTCAAAACCATGTTGGGGCTTATTCAGGTTTTTGTGCTGGTAGAAGACAAGGGAAAGGCGTGTGGGATGATTCCGGTTTGGGTGTTCGACAGGAGTCGTCGCATGAAGCTCTCGCCGGGCACACTCAATCAAAACAGAGCCATGAGCAGGCGCTATTGCCACCCCACCAATGTTGGCATCCAAGAAGATATGCTCACTGTCTGACCAGTATTCATCAATGTGTGGCAATTTCTCCTCAGCAGGTGACAGGGGGTCATCTGAGAGGGGGTCATCTGATAGAGGCTCATCTGCTTCAGAGTGTGGCTCATCTTCTTCCACCAGACAAGATGCAAGGTCATGAGGAGAGGCAGTGAATGGGGGTTGCTGGTTTGGATGATTAGAAGTTAGCTGTTCAGGTGGACCAGTGGGAGGCTCAGAATAAACCAAGGAACCAGTCATGGGAGTAGACAAGGTGGGAAGAGGAACCACTTCACCAGGCTGTGCAATTCCAGTGCCTTCTCCTGCAGCTGCATTAGCACCACCGAGTCTCGCAGAAGGCATTGTGCAGTGAGGATTGCTACTTCTTTCTGAAAACCCGTACGAAACTGTCGACGCATCGTTCTTAAAAGGAGCTGTTGTGGCCAACACAGTCTTAGGGGACCAGGAGAGACCTGGAGGTATGTTTGTCTCTTTCCATGTGTGAGGAATGGATGGGGTCAATGAGTAGGTTTTAGTGTTGTCCGAACCTTTGAAGATAAAATGGGGTTCAGTTTCATTTTTTATTTCAACTTGCAAGGCTTCGGTTTTATTCCCTAAACAGAGAAAAGGACACCAAATGCAAAGATAAGTATAAACTACTTTAGGTAGTTGGCTTTAAGTAGTATTTCAAAGAGAAACACATGATAAAACATTGATGATGGCAGTGTTGGCCACTTTTGTTCTATTTACTTTAAGACAAACACACAAACATGCATTAAACATTGCCTGTAGTTTGGTATGCTTTTTCAACCAACAAATTTCCTTAAAAAATGCTCCTCTAGGCACAGAGTTAGTCAGAATGAGGCCCACTGATTAAAATACTAAGAAATTAGAAACAACCTAATTGGCTATAAAGTAAACATTGAAATCATTCATTGGAATACAACACAGGTGATAGAAACATGATGATACAGAGCAATACTTCTACCCAAAGAGATTATAGCATGATCTCATTTTCAAAAAAGGAAAAATAAGCAATATTTTATAAATAATAAATATTTTCTGGGTCATGATAACATCATAACTGGCAAAGTTAAGTATGAGGCAAAAAGAAGTCACAGAAGATGTTTTAGTAGAAGGTGTGCCTGGGTGGCTCAGTCAGTTAAGCATTTAACTCTTGCTTTTGACTCAGGTACAATCCCACAGTTTGAGTTCAGCCCCATGTTGGGCTCTGTGCTAACAGAGCAGTGCCTGTTTGGGATTCACTGTCTCCCCTTCTCTCCTCACCCCCCGTCTCTCTTCTGCTCTGCTCCTGCTGCCATTCTCTCTTAAAATAAATAAATAAAACACTAAAAAAAAGTGCTTATGGGTAAGATTACAAAAGAACACAGGGTTATAAGCCTAATATTGTGCAGAGGGCTACTAACAGGGTAAGTATTATCTTTTTTTAAAGTTTATTTTGAGAAAGAGAGAGATTACGTGTGCATGAGATCATTACCTAAACTGAAATTAAGAATTGGACACTTAACCAGCTGAGCCATCCAGGCACCCTGTCAGGGTATATAGTATTAAAAACACAGAATGTAAAGATGCTGCTGGGGAATGACACAAAGATTAAAAAAATGATAGAAATGCTGTTTACAGGCAGCATGCAACCAGGTATGTGAATCTTAAAATAAATCCAAAGTAAATGTCTGTAAAATGGAGCTACATGCAAAAATCCCATGCTAATTCTCCCTGCCTTGCCTCTTCACTCTCTATTGAATATTTCCTAGCATTGTGTAAATGCCTGCGCTGTCATTTCTCTCATCTTCCAAAAAACAAACAAACAACAACAAAAAGAAACAAAACACCCCACACCAATTAGCAAACTCTTATTGCAAACATGAAAAAAAAATTCAAACAAGTTAAGGAATACCCTGTAATTCTACAGTTGAGTAAAGTTGAATACAAATTCATGGTGTATTTTTTTTTTTCCCTTCTTTAGGCTCCTTAGAGACATGGCTGAATTTATACATGGGGAGAGTTACATAAGATGAGCCTGGAACATCTTGTTGGAAGCTAAGGAAACTATCAGGGTCATGACAAAAAAGTTGAGAAGCCAGCACGATGGGTTTCTACTCATCCAAGATGGGACAATTTGAGGATTTTTTTGGGTTTTAATTTGAAGATTTTTATAGCATTTTTCATATTTAGTTGGGAATAAAAACCCTATATAATGTACACTGAAATATGAACTATAAATAATACAAACACTAGTAATAAAATAACAAAAATATAAAAATTGAGATCCAAATGATACTAAATTTAAAAAAAAAAATTGAACACACTGGAAAATGCCAAGGAATGAATATGTATTCTGAAAACTGGTGAATAAAGGCAAATGGCCAAGTGTTTATTCTAATTTCCCTACATGAACTTTACAACAGAGTTGACAAGTTATTGCTAAGAACAATATTTCTTTCTAAAAGAAGATCAACCACAAATGGTGGACTTGGTTGCTCAAGATGTAATAAAGAATACAGAATATGGGGGCGCCTCGGTGGCTCAGTTAGCTAAATGTACGGCTGTGGCTCAGGTCATGATCTCGCAGTTTGTGGGTTTGAGCCCCGCATCAGGCTCTGTGCTGACAGCTAAGAGCCTGGAGCCTGCTTCAGATCCTATGTGTGTGTGTCTCTCTCTCTGACCCTTCCCTGCTTGAGGTCGTAGTTCTCTTTCTCTCAACAATGAATACAACATGTTAAAAAAAAAAAAAAGAATATAGAATATTATATTAAGTGTTTCTAAAATGGTTAGGTAAAAAGGTCATAGGGAATGTTATGAACAGTGAATCCCATTGACAACACCTGGACCATGGATCAGTCTTATCACAAAAAAAAAGAGGTATCATCAGACACTATATACTTCCTGGTGTGAAGAAACAAAAGAGTGTACAAGTCAGATAGTGGTCTTGAAATAGTGCTTTTAAGATTGAAGCTGAGGGGCTCCTGGATGGCTCAGTTGGTTAAACGTCCAACTTCGGCTCAGGTCATGATCTCACAGTTCGTGGGTTCAAGTCCCGCATCAGGCTCTGTGCTGACAGCTCAGAGCCTGCAGCCTATTTTGGATTCTGTGTCTCCCCCTCTCTCTGACCCTTCCCTGCTCACGCTGTCTTTCTCAGAAATAAATAAAAAACAAAAACAAACAAAAATCAGTTTCAAAAAAAAAAAAACTGAAGCTGAATTTCCCTCTATAGGACAATGCTTTTTGGCCACATGAAAAGAAAAAAATAAAGATCAGAAAAGCAAGCTTTAAATAAAACAAGTATAGGAGACATATCAACTAGCTATAATGTGTGACTTTGTTTGGGTAATGATTTAAACAAAAACAAAATGAAGATATTATGATGTGAGTTCTACAATTTATTATTAAAAAAATTAAAGGGGGTGGTGTGTGGATAAGGATATAGATGAAAAAAGAATTATGTATTAAAAATGTTTTAAATTGGGAGCATATGAGGGAAGTGGGATTCATTAAATAATTCACTCACTCTATACCTTTAAAATATTTTTCCGTTTAAGGTAAAAACCTCTCAACCCTTTAAACTTCATTGCATTCAACTGATCCCCTTTATAACCGACCAGAAGAATCTCTCCATTTCTCTCCCATTTCACCATCTATCTACTTCCTTCATTCTTACTAGTGAGTCTGCTTAGGCAGGACCCCCCTCCCCCACCGCCATCTACAAAACTCAGTGTAAAACATTAGTTTTCAGCTCACTTGACAGAGCAGCATTTGACATGCTTGATCACTTCCCTTCCTGACACACTACATACACTCTTGGGGTCCCATTAATACCTCACCAGACCTTCCAAGACTCTCTTAATCTCTGAAGCCTGTATAAATTGGGAATTCCCAGGACTTCTATCTCCTTTAGTTCTCTGTTATTTCATTCATTCTCAGGCTTTGAAATTCCATCTCTACGCTGCTGACTTCCTAAGCTCTACACCCAGCCTAAGTCTCTTCTTTGAACTGCACTCTTATTCAACTGTTTACCTAACAGTCATCTGACAGGTGTCTTAAACTTGACAGGTCCAAAAGTGAGCTTCTGACCCCCCTCTGTATATTTCCAAATTTGTTCTTTCCCCATTTCTCATGACGGTTGGTGACTGCCCCATCTTTCCTGTCACTTCAGACCAATAACACCAGGATAAACATTGACACTTATTTTGGTCCACACTCCAGATTTTTCAGAAATCCTGTTGACTCTACCTTGAAAACAGATCCAGAATCAGACATTTCTCATGTCCTCATTAGTCCATCCGGTCCTAGCTGCATCACCTCTTTCCTGAGCTGTCAGGATGTAGCGTCTTTACCATCTCCCCACTTTTCTGTTCTGTCTACTGTTTTCTAGTTCAAGCCAGTAAGCAGAATGTTAGGTTTGAGTCACATCATAGACCATCTCTATTTTTAAGATTTTATTTTTAAGTAATCTCCACACTCAACATGGGGCTTGAAGTTACAACCCCAAGATCAAAAGCCAAAAGCTCTATGAACTAAGCAAATCAGGTATCACACCCCATCTCTATTTTGAAATCTCCAGTCGCCTTCCCTTCACTCACTAAAGACTGATGTCTTTATAGCATTCAACAAAGCCTGAGATGAACAGCTTCAACTCCCTACTTCCCTCTCCAATATATTTCCTAACTCTTCTCCCCATTTCATGGTCTGCTTCAGCCACACTGGCCTCCTTGCTTCTGTCAAGTATTCAACGTAACCTCTTGTCTCCTGATCTTTACATTTCTTCTGCCTGGAATGCTATTTCTCCCAACAAAAACACCAATGGTTCTCATTGCCTTAAGGACTTTACTCAAATGCTTCATTCTCAACAAATAGTTCTCTGACAACCATATTTAAATAGAATTCTCTCCCAGCACTCTCCTCATTCACTGGTAAATTTGCAACACCCAGAACAAAGTGTTAGTAATATTTGTTGACTGGATTACTTATACTGATGCTAAATGAGACCAAGGAAGACTTCAAGGAAGTGATGTCATTTCCCGTATTCCAAGAAGGAGTAGGACGTCAAAATAGATGGAGTCCAAAGAAGAAAAACAGGTGTATGTATTATTTTTGTTTTAAAGCACAAATAGAAAAAATACCAAGAAATACTGATGGGTCATATTTTTGTTTACTTTTAGTTTTGGCAAGTATGTAGAAATTGTATACGTGTATGTATTCAGTGTCATATTTTGAACTCTAAACCAACATGTATTAAAAACAAATGAGATTTAAGATTAATTGGATTAACATCTGATCTAAAGTTGTTTTTTGTTTTGTTTTGTTTTCATAATGGCTCATTCCTAAGAGAGCATCAAGGATAAAGAAGAGGGGAAATAGGGTGCAAAGGAACGTCCCAACACTCTGGCTACTGGGAGACGTGCACAGAGACTCAGCAGCGTCCACAGGCCTCACCTAGAAGTGACAGCGATGAAGCCTTGTTATTGTTTGTGGTTGAGTTATTCTTCCGCTTGATTCGAGGAATGAATTTCTTCTCCACAGCTCTTATCTTATGTGCAAGAACTTCTGTCATCATTGCTGCCCTCTTCTTCCCAGAACGAGGAACGGGCTGAGTGAAACGTGTTCTTTTTTTACGGCGGGGTGTGAGCACCTCGATGGCCCCAGATTTGATCTTGGCTTCCATTCCTTCACTAGAGCCAAACTCATCTGTGTCTGAGAGTTTGTAGAGTGGTAGCACATGCAGCTGCTCATCTTGAGGAATAACCCCCAAGGAGCGGTTATCTTCTCGTGTTAAAGTACAAACCTGACAGAAAGAAAACATGAAATAGGTCCTGCACGTTCATCAGTTGTTTCTACCTTCTAACTGTTGCCACTGTGTAAGGGATCTGTATTCCCATTCTATTTTCCATTGGTTGCTGCTGGTATATTAACTTGCATAACTAATATATATCAAGCCACTCAACCCTCTCTAGTTCTACTAATTTTTCAAGTTGATAATATTATACACGTTTATATGTTTTATATTTTTAATGTTTATTTATTTTTGAGAGAGAGAGAGAGAGCAAGGTAGGGGCAGAGCCCAATGTAGGGCTTGAACCCATTAGCTGAGACAAAACCAAAAGTCAGACGCTTCACTGACTGAGCCTGCAGGGCACCTTGTTTAAATTAAATAATTTAAAATTAAAAAAAAAAAAAGTTTTTTTTTTCAGAGTATAACATTTTTAAAAAGTAAACTCTATTGGAGTACCTGGTGCCTGGATGGCTCTAATGGTTAAGCATCTGACTTCTGGCTCAGGTCATGATCTCATAGTTTATGGGTTCAAGCCCCACACTGGGCTTTGTGCTTGACAGTGCACAGCTGTTTGGATTCTCTCTCCTCTTTCTCTGCCCCTCCCCCATTTATACTCTCTCCCTCTCTGTGAGTGAATAAAAAAACTACGAAAATAAGAAAATCCAACTAACCAACCAAACAAACAAAAAAACAAGTAAACTCTATCCCCGATGTGGGCTTGAACTCATAACACAGATCAACAGTTACATGCTCTCCTGGCTGAGCTAGCCAGGCAATCCTAGATTTTAAATACTAAGTCTTCTGGTTACATTCTGCTGTACTCCATTGCTCAAATTAATGAATGTTTACTGGATTGTCCATACCTTCATATTAAAAACGAACTATTAAAAATTTTTAACCTATAGATTACCCTATTTCTTAACCATTTGAATAATGACACACTTTTTGGTTAGAGGGAGATTAATTATGACAAATTTCCAGACTGTAAGGTTGATAGAACTTGATGAATACAGATTCTAAAGGAAGATAAGCTTAAAATTTTATTTTCTCAATATTTATGGTCACATTTGTCAGCAAGACTTGAAATACTGAAGTCTCTTGGGTGTAGTTTGGGAATGATTTTATAGGACTGATGTTAAAAATTAGACTCTTGCATCAATAAATGTTTAATCAGTTTATCTGTTCACAGGGACACTAAGAAGGGGCTAAGGACGAGATACGAGGAGGAGCATAATTTGAAAGACTGAGGCAGCAGACAGGGAGGCAAGTGAGTTGGTAGCTGAATGTCAAGATTCCAGGGTTTCAGAAATGTGGAAGTTTGCAGTCAGGCCAAGTTTTAGGTATGAGCCTCACTGCATGAGCAGTGAAAGCAGTAGAGACAAGGCCACACTGAATGATACACAAGAGAATTACACAGGAAGAATAGGAACCAAAATCCAGTTAGTTTGACTCAACCTAATTCACCATTATCACAGATACTGTGTAGTCAGGCAATTCAAGTAAAGTGTACTAGCTAAGCAATGACAATGAACCACACTCTGGTCAAAATTCACCTGGAAAGATTTCTACTATTTCAACTTTGAAAATAACATTTATCTCAAAGACTATAGTCAACAACACTGGAGAGGAATGATATCCAAAAAAAATTTTTTTTGCTCCTTAATCTGTCACTCATAGACTTTATTGGCCAAACAAGGAGGGAAGGCTGCCTTTTGATGGATTAGATTCTATCCTTCTAGTCACACTGTAAGGGGTTATAGCTATGTCTTTCTTATTTGGGGCCAACCAGACTGGTGTCATGCAAAAACAGAGGAAATCACTCCATATTAATCTGTTTTACTAGTGAGGCGATAATGACTTGAGGCAAACCCATTCTATTTATAAAAGGACAATTGTGTAATTTAATCCAGGGTCTTCTACCTAATTTAAGTATCTCTTTATGGTTTCATGCTATGGGCATATCATTCTTTTCATAGCTGTAAACATTAAGTATGCATACCAAAAGGCAAATATTTCTGATAATATTAACTTTATACAAACATGTACAAGAAAAGATGATAAATTTGGGATGATTCCATCACAAAAACCTGGTGGTACCCAGAAGGCCAAAAAAAAGTGGTAAATTGCTTAACTTCCTACTGATCAGTTTGATAGCATAGAAAAGTACTCCTACCTATGAGCAAACATACCACAATTCAGTATAGGATTCAAGACTTTGAACAAAAATATTTAAGGCCACTTTGTGGAAGTACCTGGCCAATAACATAAATGCTATTGATATATACACTATGTGGAACAGTACATAAAATGTGATTTTTTAAATTTAACTCATCTCTGTACCCAATGTGAGGCAAGAACACATGACATTGAGAACAAGAGTCATGTGCTCATCTGACAGAGTCAGCCTGGGGCCCCTAAAATAGATTTTTAACAGTAATCATATTTAAAGACCTTAGCTTAAGCACACAGCAATAGAGCTTTTAGAATCAAGTCACTTAGGTACATACCACAGTGCTTCCATTATTCATGTTGTGAATGTCCCTGTGGGGATGGGCACAGAAGTCTAGGCAAGCAGTGACCCCAGAGAAAGGACGACCTTCTTTGCTGCCAAGACGACATTCTCGGGCAACATGTTCATATTCTACCTAAAAAACAATAGTTATTTCACACAGTTGTAAAAGACAGAAAGAATTACATTCAGTAAAGAGTAAAAGTCCCTTCCTCACCAGGACCTGAAACTAATCACACTTTGTCATTTCGGAGATTTCTGTCTGTAGTGCATTTAAACAGTGGATATGTAGTTCAGAAGCATTCAGGAGGAAGAGACGATAAGACATAAAGTAAAATGAAAATTCCTGGCTGTGAGTGATGGTAGGGTGATAAAAATACCTGCTGGTGGTGAATAAACAAGCAGAGCAAACCTGATTTATTCCATTAGAAAGAGAGACAAACATAGTGCATCAATTATTTGGGAAGAGTTCTCAAGGTCTATAAATAAATATACATATATACATATATTCATAAGCCAGTATAGGAAGTGAATTTATAACTTTTATTTTATTATTATTAATTCTTTAAAGTAGGCTCCAGGCAGGGCTCCAACTTAAGACCTTGAGATGAAGACTAGAGCTGAGATCAAGAGTCAGACTCTTAACTATGTGTCCCTATTAACTCTTTAAAAAATGAAAGGTTACAATGTAACAGAAGCATGTTATTCAAAAGAACACAAAGATTTAAGAAATATAGATCATATATCTCTGGTTATGTTTAAGATTAAAAAAAAAAAACTGGGGCGCCTGTGTATACATGTACAATGAAAAACTACTGAGCCTTAAAAAGGAATGAAATTCTGGGGCAGCTGGGTATCTCAGTCGGTTAAGCATACGACTTTGGCTCAGATCACGACCTCAAGGTTCCTGAGTTAGAGCCCTGCATTGGGCTCTCTGCTCTCATTGCAGAGTCCACTGTGGATCCTGTCTCTGCCCCTCCCCTGATCTCCCAGGCTCTCTGAAAAATAAAACTTTTAAGTAAATAATATAGTATTGTTAATAAAATTATAGTCCTTGTGCTGTGCAAAGGATGCCCAAATCTTAAATCTTACTTATTTTACACCTAGAAGTTTATATCCCAGATTATCAATTCTCGAACCCTTCATTTTATTTAAACTTTATTTATTTATTTATTTATTTATTTATTTATTTATTTATAGAAAGAATGAGTAGGGGAGGGGCAGAGAGAGAGAGAAAGAAAGGGAGAGAGAATCCCAGGCAAGCTCCATGCCTGTAGCACAGAGCCCAACACAGGGCTCGGACCACGAACTTGGGAAATCATGACCTGAGCCAAAATCAAGAGTCAGACACTCAACAGACTTAGCCACCCAGGTGCTCCTCATTTATTTTGAGGACAAAATGAATTGTGAACAAAATAAATTTTCTTTGACGCACAAAATTTTAAAAATTGAGTTTCTTTCACTTGTGGTTAACAGAACCTTCAGCAAAGTGTTTAATAAAACGAAGAGAGTAGAATTCTTTTTTGTTGAGTTTATTTGTGAGAGGAGGGTGCAGAGAAAGAAAATTCCAGGCAGGCTCCATACTGCCAGCTGAGAGCCCAACTCAAGGCTCAATCACAAAAACCTCAAGATCCTGACCTGAACTGAAGTCAAGAGTCAGAGGCTCAACTGACTCAGTCATTCAGATGCCTGAGAGTAGATATTCCTGTCTTGTTCCACATATAGAGCAAAAAATGTTTTAGTCTCTTATCAAATTATATTAGCTGTGGATTTTTGTAGATGGTCCATTCTCTTCTATTTCTACTTTGTTGACTGTTTTAATCATGAAGTGTTAGATTTTATCAAATGTCTTTATAGAGAGATTATGTAGCTTTTGCCATTTGTTCTCATTAACATATTTAGTATACTGCACTGATTAATTTTCTTGTGTGGAATCAATCATACACTTCTGCTCTTATAAATTATATTTCTAGAAATGAGAATTCTGTCACTCTGGAATTTTAATTTAATTTCAACAGTCACAATAGAAAGTCTTTTAAAGACAGGCTAATTTTTTTTTTTTTTTATAAAAAAGATTTTCTTTAATCTCTACACACAATGTGGGATTTGAACTCACAATCCTGAGTTGTCACATGCTCTACCAACGGAGCCAGCCAGGCACCCCCAGGCTAGTTGTTCTATAAAAATAGATAACCATGTTTTAGAGCACTGTCCCCAAACATACCTGGTTTTGGTAAGCAACTGGAGCATACTGCTTATAAATTGGAGCTAATCGTGTAGCCAAACTCTGTAAATTATCTTCAAGGTTTTTTTCCTATAGGAAAAGACAGTCCATAAAAGTTGTTTCATAATGACATGAGTTTTAGGTGTGAAAAAGAATCATAAATCATTGCTGATGTGTGGTTGATGCACAATTCATACTTACCCTAAGAAAAGAGCCACGATAGAAAATAAAATGGGTTGCCTTTTATAAAATCTTAACGCTTGGTCAGTAATGCTTTAAGTTATGTTATAAGCAAATTAGAAATGTAAATGGTGTCAGGTGTAAACTGCTCATGTTGCTAAATACAAGATCTGTATTTTATATGTGCTCAGTAGTACCAGGCACTTGAAATAAATCAAGAACAACTGTAAAATGCTACTGATAGGAGAAACATAGAAGACTTTTCAAAGGAGAACAATCATAACAAGAGACTCCATTAAAAATTTCACTGAGGACAGTATGAGGTATCCAGTGCAGAAGGGAGACATTGGAAACAATAGTTGAAAGACCACTGTGATCATTTTTCAAAGAGGACTGTATTCTAAATCAAATCAAAGACTTAATAAATGATCAATCACATCCAAGAAAGACTATGGAAGGGAAATGGAGACCAAGGATGGAAGGAAGACTTAAGAGGCTCCAGGCTTCTGCTTGATTTCAGATTTGATGGATGCCAAGGACACAGCAACACCTTCTTGTGGATATGCATCAGATTATTATAAAAGCCAAAGCCACACACAATGCAACCATAGGAAGTGAATTCTTTTAGTAAAGTAGGCTCCACAACCAGCATGGAGCCCAATGTGGGTTTTGAACTCACGGTCCTGAGATGAAGACAAGAGTCGGACACTTAATGACTAAGCCACTTAGCTGCCCCAGGAAGTTAATTCTTGGGTACATTCAACAAACCCCCATTTGAGCAAGTGAAGACCATTAATGGTAATAACTTTTTTGGTTTCCTACTCATTTAGCTTGACAATTTCCTTGAAAAAGAATTTTATCTATTTGGCATATATCTAAATTATTCTGTTCCTTTCATCTGTCTTCTTACATATGTGAAAGTTAATATAGCTTAATATATATTCACCCATCAATTATTTATTTGGGGAAAACTTCACAATTGTGATTTAAGTACCTATTGAAAGGATTTATTATGTTTTCTAATACTTGAAATATTAACTGGAGTAGGTAATTGTGTTTTACTTCTAGTAGATAATGAATTCACAATGAGTATCAGGAGTCAGACTGAGTAAATGGTCATCAGGAAATCGAATAAAGCTTATATAGCTGGCCATTGGTATAATTTTACAAATGTAAATCTCATTATTCATATTCTTGACTTTCTAATTGGCTCATTAGAACAAATGTGTATGTCAGATATAGAGGTTTCTTTATAAGAGATCCTAATGTGTTGGGGCTGAAGCCTATATATCTGCTTTTCTTATCCTTTACCCAATCTCTAGGACTGTCATATCCACCTCTGTGGTTTAATTCCTATTTGGACAACAAATCACACTTGAGATTCAGATTCTTATTATGAACTGACATCCCCACTTGGATTTACCATAGAAATCTCTCACCCAGTAATTCCAAACTAAATTTATAATCTGCCCTTTTGAAGCCTTATGTCAAGGAATAGTGCTACCATCTAATTGATTAAAACCTTTCCAGACCAACCACTATCCACCATTTTCTCTGTCACAACCATATTCCAAGTTACTATTATACCTTTTCTGGACTAGTCATTTCTTTTTAATGTTTGTTTATTTTTGAGAGAGAGAGAGTGCAAGCGGGAGACTGGAGAGGGAGAGGGAAACACAGAATCCAAAGCCAACCCCAGGCTCTGAGCTGTCAGCACAGAGCACAGACCCCAACGCGAGGCTTGAACTCACAAACTGCGAGACCATGACCTGAGCCAAAAGTCGGAAGCTTAACTGACTGAGCCACCTAGGCACCCTTGGACCATTTATTCTTAAAGCTAGCTCAACTTGCTAAACACACTCTTCAACAACTCTAATCCATTATTCAGAGAGCAGCAGTCCCTTTGAAAGACAAGGGTAATTGTGTCACTATTCTTATTAAAACCCTTCAATCATCTTCCAAAATGTTTGATATACAAGGTGACTGCATTCACCTTACTCTCTTGCCTGCTGAGCTTCATACTGGCCTTCTGTCAGTTCCTGGAATGAGAAATGCTTATTCCTGTATTATAAGCACTATATAGATATTACTCATTATTTATAAAGACCATAAAAATGATCATGAATTATATAATATTATTATGTTGTAGAATACAAATGTAATAGTTATGTCAATACTACTAATGTATTTATATACTGGCAGTTTCATCATAAAATATTTGTAAAAAAAATTTAAAGGATTAATTTTAAGGGAGAATGGACATCACATTATCAAGAATTCTTATGTTTGAACATAGTACCTTTACATGATCAAATACAGCCTTTAGCAAATTTTTATGGTTTTCTCCTCTGAAGGTCTAATACACATCTTGGATTTCTAAATGTAAGCTCTAAACCCAACATGAGGCCTGAACTCATGACCCTAAAATCTAGAGTCACAGACTCTTGAGACTGAGCCAGCCAGGTGCCCCTAATATACTTATTAGGTTTCTTTTAAGGTACTTTATCTGCAAATGATACTTCTCTCACTGAAATCATTTCCTTATTTTATTGCAATATATGAGAACTCTAGAAAATGCTAAATATTCTACTTACCTCTTTAAAGGGATCATTATTAATTCTGAGACTCTTGTAAAGATGATACATTCACCTTATTATGGATATAATTAGATTAATTCCTGCTGTTGTATTTTGTGTTTCCTATTTATCTTGTTTTCTAATAATTTTTAAAAGTTCTTTTGCTGATTTATGTATAGATAGTCTTCCTTAGAAAGATTTTCACCCATAATGAGTTTAAAATGCAAAAATTCTATTTAGATTCATCTAATAAATTTTAAAACATGTGCTATCTTAAATATGTTTTTCTGACAAATTCTAGAGCAGTGTTTTCCAAGCTGTGGGTCATGACTCAGTAATGGGCCATGAAATCAATTTAGTAGGTCACATCTAGCAAAGAATAGTGAAATTTTATTAAAAATATTAGAATAGTGATCCTTAGCTATAATTGAATATGAGGTTTTTAATATTTGAATATCTTCTCTAACATAAGATGAAGTATTATTTACTGAAGGTTTTAATTATTTACTTGCATATATCTATTGTATAGCAGTTTATAATATAAAATGTTTTTTATTCTTGGTCACAGCTCAAAGGTTGAAAAACACTGATCTTAGAGGTAATTGGTATCTAAGTCATCTCCACTCCAACAAAATATAAAACATCATAAAACACTTAGTTCTTGTAGGTGCCCCACCCCCTCCCAGTACCTACCCACCCTTGAGCTGATAAGAGTATGGAATTATACTTATCGATTGTTATTTTAATTTAAAGTTTAAGTACTCAATTTATTTAAACTTAACAGTAAGGTTGACTAATTTCTTTGCTCACCATGGCCTCGTGTCCCGGACAGATTGGTTCCGGTTTCATATATCTTCTTTCTGGATTACGTCCTTTAGTAATTCTTTCATAGTAGTTCTGTGGGTAGTAAACTTTCTGAGTCTTTGAAATGTTGGCAAATGGTTTTATTTATTTTTCCTATTTTGGCTGGGTATAAAAATCTATGTTCTTTGAACAATGATTGTCTCTGGGGTTAGGGGAGAAGGAGGAGGGAGCCAGGGACAGTGGTAATTTAGGTTCAGAGTTGAAGACTTACCTAATTTATTGAGAATTTTAAACTATTTACATATATATATTCTTACTGTTTTTTCACTACTTTTAAAATATTTAATTGTTTTACTATTTAAAAAACATTTTAAGGAATGTACTTACAAACTTAGTGTGAAATTTAAAAGTAAAAAAGGACACTTACGTGTAAGGGAGAGCTTGGATCAATTCTAAATCTTCTAGGGCTTGGGCTTCTACCAAATTTGCATCCATTGAAGTACATGCTCCAAGAGCAACCAAAAGAAAAGGATGCTCCGCACGACTCTGGATCAATTCCTTGACAAGTGCAGGTCCGACTGTAAGATGATAATTGCAAGGGAATGAACTGATAAAGTGGGCCAATATCTCAGAAAGAACATTTCAGATTCGTATAATTTTATAAGTATAGAGGACTAATGAATTGGTTTTAACACAACTATTCTATTATTGATTTTACCTTAAGTAGTGTTAAGAACCCAAAGGTGACTGCCCTTTAATATAAGCTGATTTTTTACTGAAATGTTTTTTCCCAATTAGAAATCCAAGTAAATAGCAACAATCAATGTAGAAATACACATATCAATATGTTCAAGGAGTGGAACTAAGGAATCTATAATTTAATCCTGGATCTGTTCCTTATCAGAAATGAAAATTAGAGTATCTCATTAGCTGTTTGGACTTTTAGCTCCTTCATCTATAAATTTACATTGATATACTTTTCTGTGGACTGACAATATTGTATGAGATCACTCTCAATATGCATAGTTCCTACGCAATGATTAAAAATACAAACAAAAGCCCATATTTAAAAAAAGTAAAATAATATAGACACGTAAAGTTCAAAACTATTAGTATTTTTAAATTATGAACATCAGGAAAATGCCTGGTATTTAAGGTTACGCTGAATATGATAAGAATACAAAAAGGATCATTTAGGGGCGCCTGGGTGGCTTAGCCGGTTAAGCATCGGACTTTGACTCAGGTCATGGTCTCATCGGGCTCTGTGCTGGTGGCTAGCTCAGAGCCTGGAGCCTGCTTTGGATTCTGTGTCTCACTCTCTCCCCGACCCTCCCCTGCTCACGCTCTCTTTCAGAAATAAATAAAACATTAAAAAATTTAAAAACAAACAAACCAAAACGGATCATTTAAGATACCATGAAGGAAAAAGAGGAAGAATTGTTCAACTATTCTAAGTCTCCATAAATCTTCTTAGGAAGACGGAATATATATTGTAAAATGACAGAATGTTACAATAACTTTAATAGGAAGAAGAAGGGTATGCAAATAGGATTAAATTTGAAATTACAAAAGGAAATTAAAGTTGCCAAATAGAAAAATAAGTAAGTAGGGACACCTGAGTGGTTCAGTCAGTTGAGCACCCAACTTTAGCTCAGGTCATGACTCTGCTTGAGATCCTCAAAACCCTTCTCTCTGCCCTTCCCCTGCTGGCACTCTCCCCCACACACAAAAATTTAAAAATTAAAAAAAAAAAAAAAAGGTAAGTTATACATTTATGTCATTGAAATGACACATGGAAAGGAAAGAAAATTATTGTTTTCACTGAAAGCTGACAGTAATTTAAACAATTAAACACACAGGATATGTAGAAGTTCGTGAGACCTACAAGAGTGTTTGCCAACAGTGAACATCACGATCAATGTCCTATTTGGTAACAGGACAAACGAAATGAAAATAGTTCCTAATATTATGGACTAAGTATGGTAGTATTGCCAATAATTTCTCAATTGAATTAGATTAACAAGTAACAAACTCAAACTAAGCAATTGTCTATAAAATATCAATGCTATGAAAGACACCGCATGAGAGTAAAAAGAAAAATGTTTATGTTTATTTTTGAGAAAGAGAGCGAGTCAGGGAGGGGCAGAGAGAAAAGGAGAAAGACAGAATACCAACAGGCCCCACATAGTCAGTGCAGAGCCCAATGTAGGGCTAGAACCCAAAAACCTATGAGATCATAACCTGAGCTGAAATGAAGAGTCAGACACTTATGGAACTGAGCCACCCAGATGCCCCAAGTTTTCTTGCTTTTGATCATTGCATTGGGAGTTATGTAAGAGAATGTCGTCATTCTTACAATATACTCTCTGAAGTATTATTTATAGGAAAAAGGCATGAAGCTTGCAAATAACTGACAAATAAACCAGAAATACAAAACTAAAAAAAATTTAAAAATTAAAAAGAACACTAATAATAGATTTGTGTGCATGTGTATCAATGGAAATTTTATGAACTGTTAGCAATGATGAAATCTGTGAGGGGTGTATATAACAAGAGTTTATTGAAGTATTCTTGTATCTATTCTGACAATAAGAATTTCTTTTTTTTTTTAAGTAGGCTCCAACTCATAAGCCGAGATGAAACCCCACATTGGATTACAGAAAGTATATTGTATATTTGTTTATATTTTATATAATGACATTTCTTTAAATACTCTCTAGTAACTGAAGTTGGTTTAAATGGAAAAAAATGATAGAAATAGATCTCCTCCTCCCATGGTTAACTAGCATCAATTTTATTTATTTATTTATGTATTTATTTATAAATTTGAAATGTTTACATATATATAAACTATTTTAGAAAACATAATGAACACCTTCGGAGTCACTACTGAGTTTCATCATGTAATTGTTTTCATATTAACTGCTTGTTCTGTTTTTTTTTTTTTTTTTACAAATAGTTTATTGTCAAGTTGGTTTCCATATAACACCCAGTGTTCATCCCCACAAGTGCCCTCCTCCATGCCTATCTCCCCCCTCCACATCCATCAGTCCTCAGTTTGTTCTCAACATTCAAGAGTCTCTCACGGTTTGCCTCTCTCCCTCTCCCCCATGATTTCCCCCCTTCTTCTCCCCCACGGTCCTCCATTAATTCCTCCTAATCCTCCTAAACATGCAAACATATGGTATTTGTCCTTCTCTGCCTGACTTACTTCACTCAGCATAACACCCTCAAGTTCCATCCATGTTGCTACACATGGCCAGATTTCATTCTTTCTCATTGCCATGTAGTATTCCATCGTATAGATAAACCACATCTTCTTGATCCATTCGTCCGCTGATGGACACCTAGGCTCTTTCCATGTTTTGGCTATTGTTGAGAGTGCTGACTAGCATCAATTTTAAACTTTATTTCTATATTAAGAGCTCACGCAGGTGCATGTGAGCAGGCAAAGAGAGAGCCAGAGAGAATCCCAAGCTGGTTCTGCACTATTAGCAGAGTCCACAGCAGGGTCCAAACCTATGAACCGTGAATTCATGACTTGAGCCGAAGTCAGATGCTTAACAGACTGAGCTACCCAGGCTTCCCAATGAGCATAAATTTTAAATACATCACAAGTTCATGTTTTAAAAATTTATGGTTTCAACAAGAACAGAAAACATGTAAATTACTGTATAACTTGTAAGAGAGAAAAATGTTCTTTAATTCTACTTAAAATGCAGACACATAAGAAAATAGATACAATTCATTATAAAGGAAAGGGGATAGGGTGACTGGCTGGCTCAATCAGTGAAGCATGAGACTCTTGATTGTGAGCTTAAGCCCGATGTTGGGTGTAGAGATTAGTAAAAATAAATAAGTAAAGGAGAATATCCTAAAAGGGTCTCAACTCACTATGAAGCCAAATTTCTCCTTTAAAAAAGTTCATTATTTTCAGTTTTAGGATTCAAATCTTCTGTTCTCCCATATAATACACGTAGTTGGTAGTTAAGTAACAATTTAATATTATATAAAAGAGATCTGAACAGGAATGCAGTAAAAAATAGATTTAGGGGCACCTGGGTGGCTCAGTTGGTTAAGCATCTGCTTCGGCTCAGGTCATGATTTCGTGGTTCGTGGGTTCAAGCCCCGCATCGGGCTCTGTGCTGGCAGCCAGATCAGAGCCTGGAGCCTGTTTCAGGTTCTGGATCTCCCTCTCTCTGACCTCCCATGCTCACGCTGTCTCTCTCTCAGAAATAAATAAAAACATTAAAAAATTAAAAAAATAGATTTGATTACTTTTCATTTAGTGTGCATCTTCGGTCTGTGGGATGACCATTGTAGGACTTTAGATTTTCGGTAAGCTCCGTGTACAATCTGTCAGCCATGGGGAGAGGAATGCCGTCCCATACCATGATGAGCACCACCATCACAGCTGTTGGACAATGGTGGCCTGTACGCTGCCGAACCAAACATAGAACTTTTTCTTCCTCGCTGCCTCTTCTTAAAACCTGGAAAAGCAGAATGCATTTATTTATAGAAAACAAGAAACCTAAAGTTGAGTGCAATGGACATTGTTTTCAAAGCTCTGTGTTATTGCATTTCAGGTATTTTTAAACATTACTATTTCTCAAAGGGTTGAAGCTTATTCAGTTTTTAGAATAGCTGCGTCCACACAACTCAAGGGTATCCCAGTTTACTTGACTAACAAACAACACGGAGAACAGGAGTCTGTGGTATGTGGTTATTACTGGTAAAAGTAGACCAAAGCAGTCTGTTGTTTCATTTCACTGTTGATACAGTATTGCAAAATAGACAACAGAGGATTCCCTGAAAAAGACTTAACTGCTCTGCTCTTCAACAAATGCCACAACAGGACAAATCTAGCTAGATGCAAATAATCAAAGACTCCCAATATTGAGAATGGACTTCAGCACTGAAATTTAGCATTTGAGGAAAGTTACGGATATTTTCCTTGGGTGAATGGTTTTATCAGAATAATTAATATACAAAGTGATGGTCCTAAAATTCCTGTGACCTTTCCCTGCTATCAAAGATCTAACATACCCATATTTTCATAAGATTAAGGTGGTTCAGTTGACATGGCATATACGAAATACAACAATTAATTTTGAATTCTTGATTTATCTTACAGCACATCGTACCCATGGGGTGCTACAAAGGCCTCAAAAGTATTTAAAATATTGCTCAGTGGTCCCAGTGCACACCAAAACATTACATAAAAATGTTGACATAAAACCAACCAATTCTGTTTAAAATTCCTTCCATATAACAAATTTACATGGTAGAGACACTGACCACATTAATCAGCACAAAATCAGTAAAGGATAAAGGAACCCACCCCTGTGACCAAAATGGAGCAACAAACAGCAAAATTATTATCCCATTTTTGTTGCCATAATATTACATAAACTTGAGATGAAACTTCTTAAGATGTTAGTTACCCAATATCACTTTCTTCTGTCACTCCAGATGGTTAACAATCATTGCTACCAAGGCATCCCTTGAGTAGAGTTGGCTTTAGGACCTTCCCCCTAAACACAATTATTTATATTAAAATTTTTTTCTATATTTATGTCCTTTTACAGCCAAATAAGAATACATTTGCTTTCAAATAAGCTCAAATACAAAATAATATATACTGTATTAAACAACATTATACCAGATAATTTTCAAGTTGTCAAGCAAAGTTACATTGATCTACTGTTTGTATGGGAAATGCTAAAATACTGTTTATTCATGGTTATCTGTGCTTTGCTCAGATCTCCAAATGTCCTTCAGTGAACATGAGAAAATCAAGCATAATGAGTTTCTAAGTTCAAGATGTAGGATCAATATGCTGCTTAAGTATTGCCATGGAATGAATATTTGTGACCACCCAAAATCTATATATTAAATCTTGAATCTCATTTGTGGTAGTATTACAAGGTAGGGCTTTTGGGAGGTAAATCAGTCACAGGGGGGAGGCTCTCATGTGTAAGATTAGTGGTCTTATTAAACAGACACCACAGAATTCCCTAATACCTTCACACATGTGACAACACAAAGAGAAGAGGACCCTCCCCCAAACATGCTGGCATCATAATCTGAGCTTTCAAACTCCAGAACTGGAAGAAATACATTTCAGTGGTATAGAAGCCACTCAGCCTGGTATTTTCTCATAGCAGTCTAAATGGAGGAAGACAAGCATTAAACCTATGTAAGCTTATAAAAACTATAAAACATTAAAAGAAATTTAAAGATGACCTCAATAAATGCAGAAGTACCGTGTTCATGGAATAGACACTATTGATTGTAATGATGCCAATTTTCCCCAAATGCCTTTGCAGATTTGATGCAATCCCAAGCACATCTTATTATCAGAGTTTATTTTGTATTGGGTGGAAATTGACAAGCTTGTGCCAAAATTCATATGGAAATGCAAAAGAAAGGGCCAAGAAAATGAATGAAGGTAAAGTGATCTCTGTTACAAATATATCTTGTACTGGTACAATGATAGATAAAGAGATCAATAGAGAATACAGGAGATATGTACATAACTTGGCATTGCAATAAAAAATTAACTTTTAATAAATGGTATTATGTAGAGATCTATTTGGCAAAATATGAATCTTGACCCTACTGCATAAGTAGCTTGAGTTATATTGTTGATATAAATACGCAACTTAAAACAATACGTTTTTGGAAGAAAATATCTTCATGACCTTGAAGTAGGTAAAACCAATACAGAATAGATTACCAAATTTAATTATTGTAAAGAAAAATATTAAGGAGTTGGATTGTACAGGCGCTTGCCTGGCTAAGGTGGTAAAGCATGGAACTCTTGATCTCAGGGTTGTAAATGTGAGACCATGTTAGGTATAGAGATTACTTAAAAATAAAATCTTAAAAAAAATTAACTAGCAAGCGATTAAGAAGGCATAAAGTCAAGTAAATCAGTGGGAGAAATATTTATAATACTTATAATTGACAAAATATTTTTACTCAAAATATAAGGAAATTTCTCCAAGTGAGTAATAAAAACACAATAGAAAACCAGGAAAAGAATTGGCTCAACACAAGAGAATATCAAACAGATGATGAGCATATGAAAATATGCTCCACATTACTCGTCATGTAGCAAAGTAAAAAATTTTTAAAGCACCACATATGTTGGTGTGATGATAAAATAGTGAAACTGCTATAGAAAACAGTCTGGAAGTTCCTCAAAAAACTAAAAATAGAACTGCCATGTGATCCAACAATTCCACTTTGGAGTACACATCCGAAAGAACTGAAAGCAAAGAACTGAAAGCAAAGCCTAAAACAGTTATTTGCACGTTCATACCACCACTATTCATAATAGCCAAGTGGTGGAAGGAAATGAAATGTCCACTGACAGATGAATGGATACACAATGTGGCATCTCCATGACAGAATATCATCCAGACTTAAAAAGGAAGGAAATCCTATCACATGCTACAACATGGATGAATCTTAATGATACAATGTTAAGTGAAATAAGCCAGTAACACAAAAGCAAATCTGTATGATTCCACTTATAGGAGGTATCTAAAGCAGTCAAATTCATAAAACATAAAGGGGAATGGTGGATACCAGTGGCTGTGATAATGGGAAAATGCAGAGTTATTTAATGGGCATAAACTTTCAAATCTGAAAGATGTAAAAGTTCTGGAGATATATTTAACAAAATTCTGAATATAAGTCATACTAATGAATTGCACACTGTGGTTAAGTGGTTAAGATGGTAAATTTTATGTTTTTTAAACATAGTAAAGTGTTTTATTTATTTCCGAGAGAGAGAGAGTGAGCAGGGGAGGGTCAGAGAGAGAGGGAGAAACAGAATCTGAAACAGGCTCCAGACTCTGAGCTAGCTGTCAGCACAGAGCCCGATGTGGGGTTTGAACCCACAAACCCAACCGTGAGATGATGACCTGAGCTGAAGTCGGACGTTTAACCGACTGAGCCACCTGGGCACCCTAAACATAGTAAACTGGAAAGAAGTCTTAAAAAGAGGTATTACACACCCATTAGAATGTCTACAATGAAAAAGAAAATATGGAGTATTCACAAGAATGTGGAGCAAATGGAAGACTTGTACATTACTCACGTGACAGTTAAGAGATAACGACGTTGGAAAATTGTGTGTTTCTTCTATCAACCAAAGCTGCACATATGCACACACCTATGCCCCCACCCCCTTCAATGCAGAAATTCTACTTCTAGCTATACATCAAATAAAAATGTATTTATATTTCCCAAAGACTTCACCAATATTCATAATTATCCCAAATTGGAAACAACTCAAATGTCAATCATCAGAAGAATAACTCCATCAATTTTAACCATGTATGGTAATAGAACATTACTGAGCAATGAGAATGATTTACAGTTACAGACAACATAAATAAACCTTACAATTCTAATGCTGCATAAAGGAAGATAACAAAAGAATAATCTGTAAGATTGCATTTAGATGAAATTCAAACAGGCAAGATAAATCCATACTGTTAGAAAAGAGGACAGTGGCTACTTTTAGTCGGGTATAAGAAGGGGCAGGAGTGCTTTTGAGGTGCTAGTAATATCAGATGCTGGTCTCACAAAGGTGCGTACTTTAGAAAATTCTGTGACCTGAGGATTTTTGCAGTCCTCTGCACATATTCTATAATTAAGAAGTCTACCTTAATCAAAATTAAAACAAAAAACTGTAAAGGCTTAGTTAAGTGGCCAACTTCGGCTCAGGTCATGACCTCAGTTTGTGGGATCATGCCCAATGTTGGGCTCTGTGCTCATAGATTGGAGCCTGGAATCTCCTTTGGATTCTGTGTCATCCCCTTTCTCTGCCCCTCTGTGGCTCGTATCCTATCTCTCTCTCTCAAAAAGGAAATAAACATTAAAAAAAATTACCAATAGCAAAAACTTGTAAAGGCTGCCACTTACTCTCTCAGGATACGTTACCAAGTTTCCTAACCTTTCTATAGCAGAAGAGAACTAGGATCTAATTAATATTAGCTACTATTTCATGCCTGTTTGATTTATTACTGCACACTTGGCTCTTGAGCACAGAAATACAGCTGAAATATTTGTTGAATGAATGGTTAAAAACCACAAAAGCCCAATGTGGTTGCATTTAACTACAAGTTACTCTATTAATAAGATGAAAACTCTTATTTCAAAAGATTTTAAATGAGTGTAAGTATTCGCAATTTTAAAACTTTTCTCGAGAACTGTATTATTTCATAAGTGGAAGGATGTATTAATTTGTAAACTGTTGAATCTGTGGCCACAAGGCAGTCACTTTAGATGGTAAACGGTACATACAAGCTTCTCTGAGAAATGTTTGTGTTAAGGTGCCTAGGTGGCTCAGTTGGTTAAGTGTCCCACTTCGGCCCAGGTCATGATCTCAGTCATGAGCCCTGCTTGGGCTCTGTGCTGACATCTAATATTTATGAAATAACTTAAATATCATGAAGTCCACCATTTTAAAGTA